CACACACACACACACACACAACCTAAAGGAGTGTGTTTACACGTCACATTCACATGCCGCTCCACATGAGGGTCTCCATCTTGTTTGTCCAGGACTGTCTCTGTCCACAGCTCCTACAGTCCTCCAAACACAAGGAGAGACTGTTTTCTGCAGCAGTTTTCAGTCAAAGTTCTGTTTAGAGTCTCCTGACGTCCAGTTCTTCCTTCAGATGAAGTGTTTCATGTTTTCTTTTAAACATTTAAAGCTCCTCTGTCCTCTCGTTTTGCAGACTGGCAGAAAACCGAAGCCCAGAAGAGACGTGAGCAGCTGCTGCTGGACGAGCTGGTGGTCCTGGTCAACAAACGAGACGCGCTGGTCAGGGACCTGGACGCCCAGGAGAAAGAGTAAGTTACCCACAGAGCAGCAGAGCACAGAAATGTGAAACCTGCTGCCGTTTTCCTGACCGTCCTCCAGCGAGACGCTCTGGGGGACKCCTCACTTCCAGGTCCAACTGGGCGCCGGGCACGAAACCACACCTCAGGGGCACCCTGGCTATTTTTTTCTCTCTGTGTGACCTTTGACCTTTGTGCCGCTCCGCAGGGCCGAGGAGGAGGACGAGCACCTGGAGAGGACACTGGAGCAGAACAAAGGCAAGATGGCCAAGAAAGAGGAGAAGTGTGTCGTTCAGTGATTGTCAGAGAACAACCAACAGATGTAGCCGATGAAAGAAATGTATCGTCAGGTTCTTCTGGTTTGATAGCAGCTTTTAGACCTTTTTATCCTGACATGGTTTCTGGTCAAATTAACCGCAAAGACACCAACTTTATACCGACTTACAAACACAACTACATGTTTTAACTGTTATTTTAAGGCTCTTATTGAAAACGGTACCTGTGTGGATTATCAGTGTAGTTCAGGAGACGAGCGCAGTGAAACCCTTCAGACCGTCACGGCCTCCTGTCCTGTCTGAGGTTCAGCACAACTGGGTTTAACGTCTCTACGACCAAGTTTTGTTTCCTAAAAGAAAAAAAAAAGTCTTTATGAGATTCTTCATTACTTGACTGYGTGTCTTTTAATTATATCACTTTTTACTGTTCATAAATCTTTCCTATTGTTTTCTACGTCCTGGCTTGAAAGCAGTTTTACCAAAAGAGTAAATAAATAAATAAATAAATAACACCCTGTTGTATATTTTCATCACTTTTCTCACTAACCGCTTTGAAATTCCTTCTTTTATCTGTCAGAAACAACTATGTACATTATTTATTGCTGCTTGTATATCCCGTCACATTTGGTGAGCAACAACTTTTGGTTTGTATTTATTGTATTCAGAAGAGATCTCTGCCTCTGTGCTTCTGTTTAGAGCTCCACATCTGGTGCAGATGTGCCGCTACGTGTGACCATTTATCTGATTATTTATTCCAGTGTCATAACTCAAATCTTCAGTAATAAAGTTCCTGATGTCTGCTTCACATGGCAGCGTGTGGCCTTTTTATTTCTGCACTCAGAGTGGTTTGTTAAACTATTCAGATTTGATTTTTTTAATGTGACATTTTAGTGAATTTATTTTAGTTTTATTTATTTTGTTAAAACAATTAGGGTTTTTTTTGTTTGTTTTTTATTTCAAGTTTATCTTGAAGATTATCCAAATTATAATATTGGTAC